AATTAAATACTTTGGTGAGGAAGCTTTATTATTATAAACTAAGAAGCCATAGTTAAAAAAAAAAAATTGGATATGACAGTAAATGGTATTTCTATATGACTCATCACTCTGGATTAAAAGCAGCTTAAATTAAAAAGGGAATCCCCTGAATTTGATTAAATGGCTTTTAAAAATGTTTTTTAAAACATTTAAAAATGTAGAAAAATTACATATATTTTGTCTAGTATGTCTTAAAATCTGAGTAGTTCCACTTCTTTTAAAATTATAATTTAAAATTATACAGCTCTAATGTAAAATTAGCCAAACAAGTAAATAAAAATTGAGTGAACAATGCAATTTCATCTGGTGCATATTTTATCAATATTCTTGTTATTCAAATGTCTCCTTTTCTTAAAAATCTGCCTTAGTTTAATTGATTTTGTATGTAGTATTTATGTAATACCCAATGTTTAAATGAATATTCAAAATCAATTTTTAATATTTTAAAAACATAACTACTAAACAAACCATGTTTAAGCTTTTTAGCTATACTAGTTTATTGGTTCTTTAAAAATAAATGTACTAAGCCAAAAGTTTGTGCATATTTTTTCAGCAAGTGAAATCTGTAATGAAAACCAAGATACACACACATGCACACTATATCTAAGGTGCTGAAAATTTCACTTTGCTTACAATGGTAAATTAAATAAACATTTATTATTTGACAAGGGAAAGGATGATTTTTAACAACAAATAGTATATAAGAATGATCACATTTAGAAGAATATACAAGAGGATTATATTTATCTCAACAGCTAAAAGAAGAAAAAAAGTGGTTGTTTTTTTATCAATAATGACTCAGGAGATGAATCAGGCTCCTCTGAGGGTTCTGTGAATATCATCACAAGCATCAATCATCAATGACCCACTGAAGCCTAGAACTGCAGGTTAATACAGAATGAAAGAAACTTTTCCCCTAAAATATCACTTTATATGCATATATTCTAAGGAGTTCTAAAAGGAATATAATACAGAAGTTGAGTGTTTAGAGACTACTTTGGAAGGAATCATGGCAAGATTTAAATGATAACCAGCCCAGGTACATAGGAATCCATGACCTCTGGCCACTTTGGCCTATTCATAAATGCCCATAATGAATTCACAATAAATACCCTCATGAATTCATAATATAGCCCACAGATGTTTGGAAAGCTCTGTTAGAAAGATCATCTTCATGAAGATAAGGATGCTTCATCCTTTTAAAATCACCATAGATCCATCTTAGTTTTGTCCTGTGGAGTATCACAGGATAGTCAGAACTCCTTTCCTTACCTGATAGCTTTTCAATATTTAATAATAGCTTTCATGCCCTCACTTTTACAAGTTAAGCCTTCCCACTGGATTTTACAGAGGTTATCTACAATACTCCATCATCTCCCTTCCTTTGTTTTCTGGACATATTCTTGCTATTAGAGTTACATTTTGCCAAGGTCAATCTCAAAAGATAGTGCTCAGAATAAACACAACATTAAAATGTGGTTATCACTGCAAACTATAATAGCACAATCGCCCCCTCATTAAGATACTATCATTAATCCAATTTAACAATGCATTAATTAACTTCCGCAGCCACTTTCCACTACAAATACCAAGCTTGTTGCCAACAAAACCATGGTCATTAACTGTGTAGTGGATTTCTTGGACTCAAACCAGAAGTCACTGTATACAATGGCCTTTCTCAAGTCATCAGCTACTAATACGCAAGAATCGCTAATGAAAACATTTTCTTCTATGACAATTTACATTTAAGGATTACACCTGAGACATCATTCTTCACTTGTTTACTTCAAAAAAAAATTTTTTTTCTTTATTGATTTTAGAGAGAGAGAAACAACAATGAGAGAGGATATCAATTGGCCACTTCCTGCATGTGCCCCACTGGGGATTTGGCCCACAACCTGGGCATGTGCCCTGACCAGGAATCAAACTGGTGACCTCTTGGTGTATGGGTCGATGCTCAACCACTGAGCCACACCAGCTAGGCCATTCCTTTACTTTTAAAATGGGTTTTATAGAGAACTTCCTAAGAGTGTTTCTTGGTGGTTAATCTTAAAGTAAGATTAAGTGGTTCAAAATACAGGCAACGATTCACTCAATTCCATCTTTGAGGCAGGATGAACAATGTAGCACCACCAGCAAACCTTTACATTGATAAGAATTTGCACATATACACATACCAAACATGAAATGAGCATGTCAACTATAAACCTACGCAATCATGGGGAAAACAAAGGTACACTACATTATTCTAGTTAAAGTTGTAGTCTGGTTACAAGAAACTTTTACTTCCCTCTTCCCTCTTTCAAGGCCATAATTTTCTTTCAAGCAAAAACAGAATTAGTGAGAGTTCTGCAAGATCCCTGACTCCCTAGGTCCCTATCACAGCCTCCAATTTAAATGAAGCTCATCTATGTGGCAGGCCCAAGCTTTTCCATCCAACTCCTACTCAGAAACATGACCCCCGCCCCAATCCGAAGCATGATGAGAGTCCAACCACTGAGAATTTCCACTCAAAGAGGGCAATTCCTGAGTAGAGTACACCATTTGTCTCCTCCAGATTCCCCAACACAAGAACGCCTTCCTACTGCCGCGCCTTCTTTGAGAGCCTGCTCCTGCGGGCCAGCTCGGGGTGAGCGCCCGGGTTAGTCAGTGCGCACGTGATGCGCGGTGCCCACATGACACGACCGTGGGCGGGGGAGGGGGACAGAGGAGTGAAGCAGGGAAAAAGTTAAGGAAGATCGGTCAAAGCGCCCAAAGCAATCGGTCCCTTCCCTTCTTAGTCAAATAGTGGCTCAGGGTTCCCTAGGGGACCGCTACAGATAAAAGCATCCGCGGTCCAGCTTCCCAAACGGGGATGGAGTGGGTGGGAGGAGACCGGCGTAGTTCTCACTCCGGGCCACCTTCTGCTCCCCTCCGCCCTGCTGTTGATGCCGCTGCACCCTCAAGTTTCTCCTTCATTCCCTTTCTTCCTCCCTCTTTTTTCTTACTTTCTTTCCTTGCTTCCTTCCTCCCTCCCTCTCTCCCTTCCCTGAAAGCTCTAAATCCACTGCGGGCGATGCCACTGACGCACATTCAATTTACCCCGGGAGCTTGCCCGCACCTTTGAGGTCAGACAAGGCCGAGCACCTTCCACGGGGGAGGGTATAACTGCGCAAACAAAGTTGTACGCCGCGCCGAAGCCTGCCCTCCCTTCCACTGAGCCCCCCATTCGGATCCTCCGCAAAGCTCCCTCGCCCTGCCGGTACTCTCTCGACCTCACCCCATCACCGTGCAACACACCCCCTTCCACAGCCAGCCCACCCTTCCACTGCCCCGCGCTTCAAGCGGTCCAGCCGCCTAGCAAAGCCCCTGGCAAGCCGCTGCGCTCACCTTGCTTGACACACTTGAGCCGGAGGGGGTCCTTGCAGTGTTTGATCACCGCCAGCACATCCCTGATGGTGAGCCCCGCCACGGGGGTTTCATTCACCTCCAGGAGCAGCTCCTCCGACACCAACTTGCTGCCGCTCTCATAGGCCACCTTGCCGGGCTTCACCTCCCCCAGGTAGGGGAACTGTCCATTCTCGGCGCCCCCCTTCAGTTCAAAGCCCAGCTGGCCCTCCGGGTTCCTGCCAATGACACTCTCGTGGACTTTGCTAGTCCAGTGGCTTTTCTTTTTCAAGCTTTTGGACATGGCAGTGGGACGAGTCGCCTCAGCTCCTGAGGGGTTCCTCTGGGGTAGGGGTATTGGCGGTGAGAATGAGAATGGCGAAGCCAGGGGGCCAAGAGGTGAGAAGAGCAGACTTTGCTTCCTCCCACCTCTGTTCAGTGCTTACCCTCTTCTTTGGATGGAGTGTGGACGAGGAAGGGAAAGGATGAGAGGGACCGCTGGGCAGAGGTAGGAGAGCTTGGGTGAGGTTGTGCTGTCCCTTGAATGACACTCAAGGCTGTGGCCCCGCAGCAAAGGAGAGCTGTGGTGGCGGCGGCAGCCTGAGCGAGCAGTAGCGGAGCTGGTGAGCGGGTGGGGTGGGGGTGGGGACGGAGGGTAGGGATGCCGGGGGCCACTCCTGCGTGTGCAAGTGGGAGCGCGCGTCTGGGTGTGTGGTGTTAGCTGATGTCCATGGCAGCTGCAGTGGCAGCGGCGGATCCGTGTGTGTGCGTGTGTGTGTGTGTGTGTGTGTGTACTAGTTGTACTGTATTGGCAGGAGGGGATAAGGGGAGGAGGTAGAGGCGGGGGTAGCCGACTGAGGGAGGAGGGGCGCGCGCGGGGTGGGGGGCCGCTTCGCCGCTGTCTCCACTCCCTCCCTCCGCAGCTTGACCCGGTAGTGAAGGCAGAGAGAGAGGCAGGCTGGGTCCGCCTGGCAGCCTGCGAGAGGAGGCGGGAGCGGGAAAGGAGGGAGCCGAGGCCCGGCGTGGGGAGGCCGGCAGGCAGGGACCTTTCTTCAGCCTTCAGCGGCCAAGCGGAGCACTAGGCTGCGGTGCTCAGAGGACGCCCTGAATCGCTCAGACGCGGGCTGGGCGGGGGCGGAACGGGCGAGACCCGGCTGTGAGCGGCTCGGGGGCCCGGGCTGCGGCTCGAGCGCTGCCGGCCCCTGGCGCGCGATCCTGCGGGGGAGAGCTGCGTGCCGGCCGGCGGGGAAGTGCGAGAGCGGCCTGCGCACTGGGAGCCGGGGCAGGCGTAGGAGCTCGCAGTTCCAAGACTTGGTCTCCGTACGTGCTCACTCAGACGGCCGGCAGAGTTCTCAGAGCCCCCCTCGGAGCGGAAACTTAGAGAACTGCAGGCCGGGCATCCAGGCGGGGGAGGGCGAAGCAGCATCCCTTCCCGGGGACCGGGCCAGCCGCGCGTCGGGCGGTCCGCGCAGGGCGGAGTTGTCTGTGAAAGGCGATTCCCGCAAGCAAGGGGAAGGGGCTTCAGGTTTCCTTGTTAGGAGGAGCGGAAAGAAAGGGGCTGGGGGCCGGGGGGAGGGGTGCGGTGAGCAGCCTCTTCGGAGGGATGGACAGTTTCGTCCGGGAACTGCGGCCCCGCCGGCAGGGGCCCGCCCTGGCCCTGGAAAGCCCTCGGACTCAGGCTTGTAACTTGGGAAGAAACCTTAAGACGACCTGTCCCAACAACCTCCTGCTGCAGAGAAGGAAGAGACGGCTGCGAGGCCAAATGGGGGCTGGAACTCAGCTCGCCGGCCCACCACCAGGCTCCTCGACCTGCACCAAGTTTCAGCAGCAAGACAGGTGAGGACAGGGGCGCAAGGAGGCTAAAGGGCTGCTGGTTTTCACTGGGCTGCGAATTCCCTGTGAGAAGTTAGGGGTGATTTTTTAAATTCTTGTAGCTGGTAAATGAATTTCACTTGCTTTACTTTCAAATGATAAGTTTAAGACAAAAAAAAAAAAGTCACACACCTACTCATCTCTTTAAAGCAGAGCATGAAAAGCACTGAGCAGTTAGGAATTTTGATGTCTGAGATGAAGATAGTGTGGGAGGCAAGCGGTACAGTTAAAAATGTTTAGTCAACCCAAACAGAAAGGCCAGGTTTGACTTCAGGCTCTGCTACTTACCAAGAGTGTGATCTTAAGTATACTGCTTGACCTTTCTGAGCATCAGTTTCCTTATTTGTTCAATAGTATTAAAAGCACTAATTCAATAGGCCTGTGATCAGGATGAAATCAGGTTAATACATGCAAAGTGCTTGCCTGACATCCGTGGGTGGCACTTAAAATGTTAATTTCCTTCCTTTTTTTCCCCTCTCAAGTATAACTCATTATTTGGGGAAAAGGAGAATCACATTTAGTCAGAACTGGAAGAGATCTGAAAGAATCATGATTTGTTTAACCATGTTTCTTTTTTCACTTGAGACACCAGAACCCCAATGAGTTGGCTGCTGCTGAGGAGGATTATTCAGTGAGCCAAGGGCAGTGCCAGGATCTGAAACCAGAGTTGCAGGCAGTAACCAGGTGTGGGCAAGACTTTTTCTAGCCCAGCCCAGTCTCACCCAAAGAAGTTGGCTTTTAGCATTATGAGACATAATCCTAAATGGAAATTGATAATGAGAACTAAATATTTACTTTTAAACACCAATTACAGACTAACATACATGGGCAACACTAATATTTATCAAGTTCTAACTACATGCTAGATGTTATGCTTCAGGCTTTACATATAGTAATTAATTTCTCTTGCCATCTTAATAAAGTAGGTACTATTATCCCCTTTTACAGATAAGAAAATTGAGGAATACAGAAATTAAGTTTTGCCAGCCTGCAAATTTAGTCAAAAGCGAGGCTGATATTCAGACCCAAGTTTTTTGACTCCAGACCAAAAAATCACTGGTCTCAGTTACTTCATTGTCTCTCTCCTCCTGCACTTACAGTGCATCTTACCAGCAATCAATACATAGTATTTCTAAAGGTTCATTCTGCATTTTATTGGAGGGGTGGTAATTGGGAAAAAAGAAAACAAATGGAGCAGGAGTTTGGAATAAAAGCATTTTAGTCTCCAGAACCCAGGAGAGTCATTGAGTTGTGTGTCAGCTGAGTGCTTCTCAGCTCCTAATTCATCTTCTTTGCCCTAAGTTGTGATATTAGAGCTAGAACCTATAAACATGTGTTGTTAGTTGGTACAGTGTTAGGATTTGTCAGTAGCGGTGCTAGAGAAACACTACATAAAAAGGGGACTCCTCTTGGTTCCAGTGCTTTTCTTCCTGCTTCTATGGAGTAGAGGTTGGTGGGTGGCTTTCTGGCCAGTGATGTGCCACAAACAAGTGTTTCTCACCATCCAGTAAGTTTGGCCAGTTCTCTAGTGTGTGGCTTCCCTGTAAGCCTTGCTGGAGTCCCAGTGGGTAGCTTCCTAGCGCGTTTCATTGGCACTTCAGCTGGTGATTTCCTTCCTCAAGAGATTTCTTGGCCATCAAGTGGGCCACAGACACATTATCTGCAATGAAGAGAGAGGACAGGGATGGGAACTGGGGGGTTCTTCTAAGTTATCACTTCATGGGATACTATTCCACAACCCTGGAGTTAGTGGTGGCTCCCTAAATCCACTATTCCTATATTCTCCAGTGATCTCTTCTCTTAGTAGTCACTCCCCTTTTACTGACTTACAATTCTTCATATTAAATTTCTCCTGTTCTATTTATGGTGTGATTTCTGTCTCCTGACTGGACCTTGACTGATACAAGGCTAAAAAATCACCTAGAACCCTGGGCAGAGCACTATCCCGGGAGTCAGAAGTTGGCATCCTGTCTTTAGCTGTGCAACCTAGACTAAGTCACTTAAACTCCCAGAGTGGGTTCCCTCATTTGTAAAAAGCGGGTGACAATATATATGACAAGGTTTTGTGAACAATATGTAACATTTGAAAGCAATTTAAATAAGAAATAAAAGCTTGAAAGCAATTTAAATGTACTTAAATGTGAATGTGCTTTAAAACTATGAAGTACTATTACAATTAAAGGTGTTAATTGTCAGTATAGGAATAGAGAGTAGCAAAGAAGATGGAGATGGATTCTTTTTTTTTTAATCCTCACCCGAGGACATTTTTCCTTTTTTATTCAGATAGAGTGGGAGGGGGAGAGAGAGAAAAACATCAACGTGAAAGGGACACATCGAGTGGTTGCTGCCCACACGACCCAACCAGGGCGGGGGACAAACTGCAACCGAGGTACGTGCCCCTAGCAGGAACCGAACCCAGGTCTCTCCAGACCACAAGCTGATGCTCCAACCGCTGAGCCAAACCGGCCAGGGCTAGAGATGTATTCTTTAAGAAAAAAATTACATGCTTTCTGGGTATTTAGATTGTTTCCTAGGGGAAAAACAGCATTTTCTCTAAGATTTATTGTCATCAAATAAAAATATTATTTGTTCATTGGTGGGTTGGTTGACCTTGCCTAGCTTTTTAGAGATTAAAAACAAATGGTTTCTAGTCTCAAGTAGATGAAGCTTCCAGCTCTATGAAAATACAACTAAAATTACAAGCATTTTGAAATGCTAGATTCAGACTAACGTGGTTACTTTCTGGTCTGATATTCATCATATTTATTTTATTTTGTCTCCCTTTCCCTTTCCCTTTCTGGGTTTGATGTCTGTGTCAAGAATTATTTCATTGCTGAGCACTCTGTGTACAGAGCATGGCACTAGATATTACATGGTATTCCTAAAGAAAAATAGTTTAGGAATCTTAAAAGCTCAAGAAAGGAAAACATGAGTTCATTTCATCTTTAGAGGAGTTCTATGAGGTGGATGCTTGGGAAAGATGCTACCTTCATCCCATGGATCCCTTAGCTTGAGTCTGGGTGCCCTTCCCCCAGCTTCTGTGTTCTGTTTCTCACAGCCATCCTCTGTGACTCTTTGGAAGACCGCCCAAGGGCTCCTGGACTCACTTTGCCTTCAGGCACCACCTGGGGGTTAGGTTCCTCCCAGGGCACCTTTCCTAAGAACTGCCCTAAAGAGTATAAAAGCCCAGCTCTGTTGCCTCTGGCAGAAAGAAAATCTGAGATGTAATTTATACCCCAAAGCTCCCTTGAAGGATCTTGCTGATGCTAAGATTTTGCCTGAAATCACTTCCTTCCATTGTCTTGCTTACTCTGATAACTTACGTCTTTTTTCCTGGAAGCATTTCCTTAATAAATCACTTGCACACAGTCCTCATATCAGGGTGTCATTCTAGGGATGCTGACCTACAACATTACTACATATTCCTTTTTACAGATGAGGAAACTGAGGTTCATGTATTTTAAACTGTCCTAAGTCACTCTCCCAATAAACGGTGGAATTGGGATTTGATCCACATCTGTGTGAATCTGAGGATCCTACTTCTAATGCAGTGTTACATTTAAAGTACCTAACACTGAGTGTTTTTAATTAACTATCTGAACAGAAGTGGACACAAAAGTCAGCAACTGATAGATAAACAGATTAAAATATCACTGTAAGATCTCTAAGTGTTTGAGGAGAAAGAATAAGGAACCATGGGCAGTAAGACCAAAGCATGAAGTGCCCCCATCTAAGAACAAATTATAGCTCTGGTCGGTATGGCTCAGCAATACGAGCATCACCTGCGGACCAAAGAGTCCCGAGTTCGATTCCAGCCAAAGGCACATACCTTGGTTGCGGTTCATCCCCAGCTCCAGTTGGGGTTGTGCGGGTGGCAACCAATCAATGTGTCTCTCTCACATCAATGCTTCTCTCTCTCTCTCTCTCTCTCTTCCCTTCTCCCTCCAACTTTATCTGAAGATTAATGTAAAAATATCCTCAGGTGAGGATTAAAAAAACAAAAAATTATAAAGGTAGAGAGACCTACCTGACCTATGAAAACATGTCCCACATTTTAGCAGAAAGTATAAATGTCCCATGTGATTTTCAGTCAAGGGCTTTCTTCATGCTAAGGTTGAATTGTGTATTTGTATTTTCCTATTACTTCTATAACAAATTACCACAAACTCATTGGTTTAAAACAACACAGATTTATTATCTACAGTTGTAGAGGCCAAAAATCCAAAATAAGTCTTTCTGGGCTAAAATTAAGACAGAGCAGGGACTAGGAGGAATTCTCTAGGAGAGAATTCTATTTCTTATACTTTCCTGCTCTTAGATGCCACCTGAACTCTTTGGTTTGTGGCTCCCTCTCTCTGTCTTCAAAGCCAGCAAAAGCAGGTCAGGTCCTGCTCTCATATTTTATCAACCCAATACTGGCTCCTGCCTCCCTCCTCCACTTTACAGAACTCTGATTATATCAGACTCACCCAGATAATTCCCCTGTTTTAAAGTAAGCTGATTAGCACCTTGGCTGGTTTGGATCAGCCGTTAGAGCGTCAGCCAGTGGACCAGAGAGTCCCGGGTTCAGTTCCCACTAAGGGCAGTACCCGGGTGGGGTCGTGTGGGTGGCAACCACTCAAATGTGTGTCTCTCTCTCACATGGATGTTTCTCCATCTCTCTTTCCCCTCTCTCTCCCTCCCACTCTATCTGAAGATAAATGCAGAAATGTCCTTGGGTGAGGATAAATAAAGTAGGCTGATTAGCAATCTTAGTTCCATATGAACCTTAATTTCCCTTTGCTATGTAACAACACATGCACAGGTTCCAGAGATTAGGACCTGGATGTCTTTGTGGGGGGTAAGGGGGATCATTATTCTGTCTACTACATTATTATACAACACCATGTAGTCATTCCTCACTGTTTGTATTTGAGTTCAGATTGTCAACATCACCGCTGCATATTATCCCTGTCTTTCACTTC